CCCCACTGGATGCAACAAATGCCTCGTTTATAATGGGTTTTAATGTTTTTGTCTCGTCGCTCCGGCCGGGACACGGCATCATCACAGTATGGTGAGGGGCGTAACATTTCTGTCACACGCTTGAGGCATTCGGCCAATCAGAAAGCACTGGATAGCTGGCCAATCAGAGCACACCTCGCTTTTCAGAACGATGAGCTTTGTAAAAATCAACGCGTTTCAGAAAGGCGGGGCATAGAGGAGAAACAATAATGTACAGTATGTGGAAAATAATGTGTTTTTTGAACCTTAAACCGCATAAACACATTTCATTACACCAAATACACAAAATAATGTTCTTTTTAGCAGCATCATATGACCCCTTTAATGTTTGCTTTGATTTATTTTTGTACTGTGGATTATTTTCTCATCCAGTTTTTTTAAAGGGGGGCACCACCTCCATTGCCTCCTTGGAGGAAGCGTCCCTGCATCAATGTCATCATGATGTGAGCTCAGTTGACACACATAGGTGCTAGTGTACTTATTTGTGGGAGACAGTAAAGTTTCAGAAATCAAAATTAACCTTTTTGAAGCATTTTTATGTATTTATTTTTTATATATTTTACATACTGTTACTAAATTTACTGTAGATATATTTTATGTAGATTACATTAGTGTTATATTTATTATATATTATATAAAATATGTATTAAATGTACACTGATTACTCTTAAAAATCTAATTATTTGCAGTGTTTATTATTTTTAGTGAATCTTTCAGTGTAGCCTAATGAGTGCTAATCAATGTTTCTGTTTATTTGAAGGCTTTTATGAGCTATATGAACGTCTGGATTACTTTAAAGGTCATTTTTTTTAATAGCTCATTCAATGTTATTTTAATGTGGTCATTATTTAGAGAAATTAAGAAAGAACTACAAACTAGTGAAAAGTATTTTGTAATTTTATGAAACTGGTTCAAGTAGGTTATAGGCCTATTTGTTATTGTTTATATTTATCGTCATGTTTTACACGGCACATTGCCATCTAAACGACAGCGAAAGTTTTCACAATACAGTTTGTTCAGCTGACCCGTACTTAACTGTGAAAGTTTTCACAAATCAGAATAGTTAAGTTAAGGGCTCAGGGAAGGGTTAAATGACAAAAACTATACTGTGAAACCTTTTAGCAAATCAGAAAATAGAAGCCAAAGGACTCAAGGAAAGGTACAACAACCAAACCTTTATATTGTGAAAGATTACACAAATCACAATAGTCTATTAGAGCAGTGTATGATTTATTTAATGGCTTGGAAAACCGTTATTCACTGGAACAGCAACGTATGACCTTATGATAGAAGAACAAGAGAGCAGTGCAAAGAGAAGCACTGACACACGATAAACTGCGTTTGGGAAAGTTTCATAAATCGAGTTTGACCTAAAAACAATGTTTTTGTATTCCAGCAGTCTGCGTGTTTATTGGTAATAGACGTTAAACATAAAGAACACTTATTTTTCACATTCCTTACTAGCGGGCTTACCAAGGGGTTTACGGACAAGAGCTTTGCTGTGAAAAAATTCACAAATCAAGCTGTTGAAAATGACACAGGTTTCAATCTTCTAAGTGGCCAACTTTTGGAGCTATAGGCATTATAAAATTAAGAGTCGCACTTATTTTTCACATTCCTTACTAGCGGGCTTACCAAGGGGTTTACGGACAAGAGCTTTGCTGTGAAAAAATTCACAAATCAAGCTGTTGAAAATGACACAGGTTTCAATCTTCTAAGTGGCCAACTTTTGGAGCTATAGGCATTATAAAATTAAGAGTCGCAATGAAAAAAAACCCCCCTGATTTCGGCCAGGAGGACAGCGTCACCTGTATTCACAAATCATGGAGAACGACATTCGGTTTTATTTTCATGTCTATGACAGCACACTGTGTATTTATAGCCAAAAGAAATCTGAATATTATACCGCAAACTATCTTTACTGCGGGGCAGCCACTGGCAATATCTCTGTCCCAGGTAGCCAAAATGGTTTGGCTCGATAATGGCCCAGATCCGGCAGGCCAGATGAAATAACTCGGCCCGGCTGCGGTTGCCAGAGTTGGCATGGACATGGGACGAATGACGCCCCAGAATCGGCCCAAATACACTGGCCCGAGTCCGGCTGCCAAAACTGCCGGCATTGGGCCACAATCACGCCGACAAGAATTGAAACACTTAGCCAGTACTGGCCTGAGTCTGGGTACTGAAACTAGGTCAACACCACCAGCACTGGGCCACAATCACACCGAAGAGAAATGAAACACTTAGCCAGTACTGGCCCGAGTCTGGGGACTGAAACTGAGCCGACACCACCAGCATTGGGCCACAATCACACTGACGAGAAATGAAACACTTATGGCGCTTTTCCACTGCGTGGTACGACTCGGCTCGGCACGGCTCAGTACGGCACGGCACGGTTCGGCT